CCCCCCCGGTTTCAGAGGTGGGGGAAAATTGGGGGGGGAGGTCTGCTTCTCAGTCAAGGGCCATGCCAAGAGGGGGGTTGTTTTCTTTTGTTTCTCACTTGTGTGTGGCCCCTGATTGATTTTTTTCAGTGGGTCAGCAGCCCCCAAAAAAGGTTCCCCCCCTTGCTCTAGACCAGCAGTGGGCAGCCTGTGTTGGTTGGGGTGCTATTTGTGGCCATGAAACGTTTTGTCTATTGTTGCCCGCACACAGGGTTGCCAGATTCTTCTGGTTTTTGTCCACATTTTTTCCCCTACCAGTATTACTAAGTTGACCCATAGAAAGCAAGAGCACATGGGTGCCTGCTGATTGCACACAGCATGGACTGTGAGAACTGTGCAGTCCCTCTGCATCCAATCGGCTGCTACAGTTCAGTCAGCACATCCTAAAGATTCTAACTACACAACCACAGTTAGCAAAACTACCCTATCCTGGGTATTAATGTAAAACCCCTTTAATCAGTTAACCAACAACTTATGGGGGAGTGGGCGGGCCGGCAGGCTGTACCTGCTGTAGGTTGGTGCCGTTCTGGCTGAGCTACACTGCCCACCACCACTCACTTATGGTGAATCCCAGTGATATCGACTAGTTAACTATTTGCATCCTAATCCCAGGAGACTATCTTGGTTACAACAATCTTGCAACCCACTGAGATGAAGGAAGGCCATTCATGTGGTCCACTCACTAGCCAGGGTTGCCTCTCCCTGCTCTAAAACCAGCCAGTCCACTTCTTATCTTGTTCTCTGCTACAGATGCAATGGGTACACACATCCTCAAACTAACTGTAACCCAGTAACACCTGGGCTACGTCTACATTGCGCATTCTTGCACAAAGATATGCAAATGAGGCATGGCAATGACTATCGCTATGCCTCATTTGCAGGGCTCGACAAATACACTTGCCTGCTCGCCCGTGACGAGTAGATTTTACCAGCTGGCGAGTGCCGGGGCAGACTGGCCTGGTGGGCTGTTGTGATGGGCTGGCCGAAGCCCACAGTACGGGCAGTGCAGCCCCATTTGATCCTCCAGCCGGTGAAGGAGCAGAGCGCCGCCGGGAAGGGGGAAGTGCGGCGATTCTCAGCACCGGGCTGCCTGCGTGCAGCTCCGGCATGAGGAGGTGGGGCACAAGCTAGAGGGCAGGATACCGGCAGATGCCAGGATGCTGGCATGATGTGGCATCCTGACATCATGTCCGGCGACCGCCGGATTAAAAAAGGCTCCAGCAACCCCGTAAAGTGAAAGGCAGAAGCCAGGTGGGGAAGGGAAAGGGAAAAATATGGGGAAGAGGCTTGTGCTGAGGGGAAGGGAGGAGATCAGGAGAAGAAGAAAGGGGAAGAAGAAAGGGGAAGGCACCAAGGGACAGGGATGCAGGAGAGAGAAATGCCAGGTGGCCAAGTGTAGACAATGAGGAAAAGGGCAGGAGGGGAGGTGTCAGTGGGAGGGGGGACAGGGTGATGCTGGGAGAGGAGAAGGTAAGGGCATTGAGGGCTAGAGGGGAGAGGGAGGTACTGGGAGAAGGCTTGAAAGAAAGGGTGGGCATGAGGAAGGCGGGGATGGAGCAAGGCATGTGTGAGGATACAGAGGCATGAGGGGAATGGGGAGAGGGTGGTGAGGGGGTGGATATCAGGGAAAAAGAGCGCAAAGGGGGCAGGGGCAGTGAGGGAAGGGAGAGGCACCAGGAGGTGCCAGA